TTCAACAGCGTTTGACACCCTTGTATACTTCCATGATGTCATTGTTTCTGAATCTTCCTCTTAAGTCTCTGGTATTTCCCTCAACCTTTTATGCTGTCCATTCCACTGCCACTCACTGCAGGTTGGGCTTTCTTAAGGACTCAACTTTTGTAGGTTCTATTTTCTTCTTTAAGCCTACTAAATCTGGCTTTTTCTAATCTGCCAGTAGTTTGTTTTTCTGTAAGGATTTTTGTAGTTAGTGAAAGATATAGATAAATATCAATTGCAGATGCGTTTTCTCAGTTATTTGGTTAACAGAGTAATGTAAAAATATATGCTTACAATTTCTGCCAACTAGAACTAATTAATATGTTAAAGGCCCTGGTCTTTACAGTGGGAGCTGGTCTCCAGGTGTGCTTCCTTCACTGGAGGGAGTGGAGTTCTTTAGTGTCATTCTGGTCTCACTCAGCCGTTGTATAAAGTGATCAGGTCTTAATACTCTCAGACATTGGTCTTGCAGTTCATCAAGTGGCATTTGATCCATCTGTATGCTGTTAATGGGTGAGTTGGCAGAAATTAGGACATGTTTTAGTCTTTCATTTAGAAAGATAGTTGATTTTCTTGGGATAAATTAGAATTGGTAGATGAGCTCCCTGTCCTGTTTGTTATAGTCTGGGTCTCAGCCAGGAATTTATTCTGAATGAACTAAAGCCAGAAATATTTTCAAAGGAAAGAATTTATTGAGTAATCAAGGTGTCACCTTAAAGATGTGCCGAGTGCTTGATTGCTGATTGGAATTCCTCTACTGGAATAGCTGGCTCTTCCCTGACATTCCATTTACACTACTTAAGGAAGTAGGCTCTGTGCTAGTCAGTGAAGGCAGGAGTCTGATGGGAGTGCTACAGCAGTATTGAATTGGTACATGAACAAAAATTAATGACCTGCTAGAGTTGAAGTGAGTGTTGCCATGGAGAAGTTTAAGCTTTAGTAGTTAATTTTTATTTTTTGGTCTTTTGAGACAAGGTCTCCCTGTAGCCCCAGCTGTCCTGGAACTCACTGGCTTTGAACTCACAGATATCCACCTGCCTCTGCCTCCCAAGTGCTGGGACTAACATACCCTGCCTTTAACAGCTAACTTTTTTTAAGAATTATTTTACGTGTATGAGTGTATTGCCTACATGCGTGTATGTCCACCCGTGTTATGACGTGCCTGTAGAGGTAAGAAGAAGGTGTTGGATCCCCTGGAACTGGAGTTATTGATGGTTGTTAGCTGCTATGTGGGTGCTGGGAGTGGAACTCAGGTTCTTTATAAGAGCAGTTAATGCTCTTAACTGTCGAGCCATTTCTCTGGCCTCTTAATGGTTAATTTTTGTTGTTTTTTAACAGTTATTTTTTAAGTGGAGTTAAAATAAAATTCAGTAGATATTTTACATTCCTTGGGCATAAGTTAGGTATTTTCATACATATTTTGTTTCTAATCTGTGTGTAGAACAGAAGAAACTGGGAACGGTCCCTTTAATAAAATGCTGTTTACCTAGCCTCTTCTAGTAGGAGTGGCTTGGGAACCTGTAGAGTGAGGTGTAACTTCCAATTCTGCATTCTGACCTGCAGCCTTGGAAAGACTGCTGGTGCTAGGAACCAGGAAGTTACAAATGAAGAGCTTTAAACTGCAGAAGAACTTGGCTTTTATACAGAAGAGTGCCTCATAACAGAATAGGAAATTGAAGTAGTGATTTTTCATAGCTGTTATTAAATTTTTGAAGCTTTCCTGTAGCTAGAGACTTTACAGAATACATAGAATACAAAGCTTTCTGGGCCAGAAATTGATCTGCTGACTTTCAAGTCCTATCTGATTACTGCTGGGTTCATCTTTACTTTGTTAAAGTACTCTAGGCTGAACCAGGGAGCCACTCCTTTGTCCACAGGTAGGTGGTCAACTTTCCTGAAAAATTTAGGTTATTTTTTAAGGGTTACCTCAGACAAGTTGGTTTTGCTGCTGAATATTGAAGAAATTGTGACTATCAGGCTGGGCATGTTTAAATGTTCAGCATGACTATAAATAACCACATTTTTATGACAGTTGGACAACCTTGTAGAAAAAGTCATTTTAAACAAATTAGCAAATCTGTAACATTGTGAATTAAATGAATTTTATTTTGTTTTCCATTAACTAGTCATATTATAACCAATGGATCAAAAAGTATATTGGAATTACCTTGCTAATTAACTTTCTTACAGTATTTGACAAAGAATTTAAACATATGTTTATGTAGTCATATAAAACAGGATTTTATTATCAGCATTTTACTTGAAATGCTGATTGAATTTCTTTTGCTGTTAGGAAGCTCCGAGTTGGCACCATTGATTTACTTGTTTGCTTTAGTCTTACCTTTTGAAATGTCTAGTTCAAGAAAAGTTTTAAGGAAACATTAATTTTATGTAAGTGTACTGAAAATTGGCTGGTTCTTTTGATAAAGCTAACTACACTTTTTTGACATTAAATGTCAATGTCTTTGGAAGAATTAATTAATTAGTAATGTGGATTGTTGCTATGAAAACAGTTTAGAAATGAATCTCTGGAGTCAAAGTCAAGCTCCTTTCAGATCAAGGACAGTCGTCCCTAACTCTCTCCCCCTAATGGTCTTCTCTATTTTTCTACTCTAGAAATTCCATTTTAAAAGACTTTCTCCACCCCCCCCCAAAAAAGGTGGTTATATTAAACAGTAAACATAACAAAATTTCCTGAACACATTTTATTTTCGGTGAGAGTTCAGCAGCCTGAGAGTCCCACTCCAGGCCAGCTCTAAGCAAAGAAGCTTGTCATTTTACTTAGCTTGAACTCCCTTATTGTAGGTAATTATTTGGATATTTTTGAAGTTTTGAAATATTGATAATAGCATCTGGACTGTCATAAACTCTTCTTTGCTATTCATTACTATTCTAATAATCTGGAAAATTGGGAACTAGCAGTAAAGCGAAGAAATTTTCTTTTTAAACTCTGAGGTTCCATGAGATGTAATGAAAGTCATCTTGTAAAATAAAGGTACCATAGCTGCTAGAGGAGGAAAAGGGAAGGGAAGGGAAAAGGGAAATGGATTTGCCATAGGAATATCAGGGACAAACTAAAGGTGTTTATACATTTGGCCCCATTAAATATTTACCTCTTCTGTTTCCTAGCTTTAATTTTTTTCTCTAATTGGGCTGGTAAATTATCTAGTGACTTCATGACAACCCTTACTTGTTTTCTTGTATTCCCTCTGTATTTGTGTTCTTCCCCAGCTTCTCTTGTTCCTCCTTCCCCCACATCTTTCTTTCGGCCTGGCTGAAATCCCTTTTCTACTGTGGTGCCTTGTCTGCCCCCCCCCCCCAATCCACACAGCATTTCCTTCCTTTACACTTTCATGTCATGTTGACTCTACCAGTGCTTTAGTGCAGAAACCATGCATGTCATATTTAAGAGTGTCCTGAATCTCTTCAAATATGTTAGAAGTAAGTCAGGAGCTCAACTTTGAGATGGATTCTACACCCCTTAGGATCCAGTGCAGTAAACATGTCATTTTCAATAAGTATCTCCGGAATGCATGAAAGAGGTGAAGAATCTTTTTGGCAGTTGCTTCAAGTGCTGCCTCTCTTTTCTTGATTAATTCCATAACTGGCTATAATCCTTCCAGAAATCAGTCTTTTAGTTTCCATAATATGTTCTTGCTTCACTATGTAGTGTACTAATTTGCTGTATTTGGTGATTTGGAATCCAAAGTCCTCTTCTGACCTCCGTGGCATTGCATGACATGGGTGCAATCACATAAATGCAGGCAATACACTCATATACATAAAATAAAAATAAATAAAATTTTTTTAAAATTTAATTTTATTTGTGTATGTGTTTGGGGGGTACCCATGGGGGTCAGAGGGGCTTGTTGGAGCCCTTGGAGCTGAAGTTACAGGTATTTGTGAGCCACCATACAGCTGGGACTTGAACTCCTGTCCTCTGATACAGAAGTGCTCTAAACTGGAGAGCCATCTCTTCAGCCCCTGTATTTGGTGATTGTTATACTGATTTGCCGTCCATATAGATAGAACAAGCCGGACTTTCTTAAAAGTGAATTAAAGGAAATATTCTGCAGACCATTCTCTTGAATTTTATATTTTAGGAAACTATAATTTAAAGCTTACTGGTCATACAAAGTTCTAAAAGTGCCTAACATATTTAAATTCATTGTGAATTAAAAGTATTGATTCTGAATTGACATTTGGAACTCTGAATGGTGATGGTAAGTTGTTTGGATTTCAGATCAGTAATTGCCAGAAATTTAAGTAACTTATTTGTATAAAAAGGACATTTTAAACATCTTTACTTCACGTGTGCAAAAGTTACGTTATTGCACACTCTGAAAAACTACCATTTTCTAGGTGACGTGTGCACCTTAGTCCTAGCTATTAGGGAGAATAGCTTGAACCTGGACCAGAGGAAACCCCATTTCAGGGAAAAAATTATTTTATCTATTTATAAAAATATTTTATTATTTTTATTTTATGCGTATGAGTGTCTCCTGCATGTATGTAAGTGCACCCATGTCATGCAGTGCCCATGGAGGTCAGAAGAGGCTGCTGGATTTCCTTGGAATTGGAGTTATAGATGGTCATTACCTGCCATGTGGGTGCTGGGAATTGAACCCAAATCTTCTGCAAAAGCAACCAGTGTTCTTAAATTCTGAGCCATCTCTCCAGCCCCTGTATCTATTTATTATATCAACTCTTGCTTGATATGCATAATTAATTTTTTCTTTTTCAATGCTGGGTATTGAACTCAGAGCCTTGTGGGTGCATGCACTCTCAGTAGACACACATCTCATCAACCCAATTTTATAAACACCAGAAAATAGATTAATAAATTGGCTACAAAACCACACTCCTCCTACTTGTATCATAGGTCATTTTGACATTGGTTCTTATCTTGAATTACTGTGTTCTCTTCTCTGTTATAGCTTTCAGTACTCAGTGTAATGTGTCTGTCATCCTAGAGCCTGACCAGACAGGAATTTTGGCAACTTCTCCAGCAGAACTATGGCACCAAGCTGGCCTTAAATGCTGAAGAAATGGAAAACTTGTTGTCAGTTGAAGAAAATGTGCAGCCAAGGTACAGAAGTGATTTAAACATCAAGATATATTATTAGCTATTAAAATGGAATTATTTTAGTTTCTACCAATTCTATTAGTTCATCACTGGGTGTAGTTTGACTCTGTTCTTTGTGGTGGAGTAAGATGAAATTGGGGCAGAGAATCATTTGCTGAATTGGTAAGCAAATGGAGGACTTGAAGAAGTTTAAACTATCTCTTAGGATTTGCTTAATGCTCAGATTTAGTAAATCATTTTGTTAAGGATCTGGAAAAGTAACTGGTGAAGTCTGAGTTTCTAGAAGACAGTGGAGCAAGTACCGATAGAGTGGTACTGGGACTTTTCCTCAAGGACCCCCCTAGCATAGTGCCTGGAGTGTTTGATACTCAGTGAATATTTGACTACATTAGTGAAAGGAGTGTTTAATAATGTGGGTATACAGGTGATGGTAATACAAGGATCACGATGGTGCAGCAGGCAGTATGAAAGAGAAATGAGTAGAGCAAGATTATTTTCACACATTCATTTCGAAGAGTGAACATTTTGACTAACCCATACAAGTAAAAGTGCACCATATTCAATGGTGATTGAGGCCATAGCAATAAAAATAAAGATGGCATGTTAAAACTCTATAGCAAACATGCTAACTGAAAGAAGCCAGCAACCAAAGACCATTTACAGTAGGAGTCCCTGTGTATGAATGAAATACAGAATGGTAACTCTGTAAAGTACAGTAATAGCTTCCTGGGGCTGAGACAGAGGGAATGGGGGTGACTGCTGAAGGTTTCTTCATGGGAAGATGAAAGTATTCTAAAATTAAGTAGTGGTCATAGCTGTGCGACCCTGTGAGCAACTGAATTGTATACATTAGGGTGAGTGAATTTTATGGTATGTCAATTATATCCTTAAAAAAGCTGTGCTTAAAAATATCCAGCAGCCACATGGCGGCTATGAACCATCCTTAACTCCAGTTCCAGGGGAATCTGCAGCCCTCTTCTGACCTCCGCGGCATTGCATGACACGGGTGCTCTCACATACATGCAGGCAGTATGCTCATACACGTAAAATAAAAATAAAAAGAAATACAGCAAAATTGGGTCACTGAGATGTGTGTGCGTGCACACACACAAAATTAATAAATGTTATATATAAAAAGAGGACAAAAAATCTTGTAAATATTTTGAAAGTCTTAATATGTACACAAACCTTTCCCTCCTCTGTGTAATCTGCTGGTCCTATCTATAGTATCTCAGTTTAGCATCAATATTTTATAGCTTTTTCCACATGACTACACATGTATATTTTATTAGTTTCCTGTAAAGTTAAATTTTTCCATTGCACTGTTGTCCTTATAGAGATTACTAGTCTTCCTCAGGCACTAAAGCTGGATACCAAATCAGCTTGCTACTGCAAAGAGCCTTGGGTTGTGGTTAACAAGATCTGGATTGTGGTGTGCACTACCTGTAGCTGAGCAATCTCAGGCAAATCTTAAACATTTCTGAACCTCGATTGACTCATCTGTGAAAATGAGGCAGTTGGATTGGGTAATGTTCAAGGTCCTTGCTTGTAAAGTTTCTAGTCTGTGAAGCAGGAAAAAAATAGGTATTTCTGACCAGGTGTTTCATATACTTTTGAGGTCACCAGCAAAGCTGTATTTTCTTCTGGTGGATGAATGCTTTCTAAGAAAATACGTAGCAGGATCCTTATTCCCCGGCCTGCTTTGCTCTTCTGCCTCTGAAGGAAGCAAGTCTACTTCAAACCTTTATTTCCTCAGCTCTCCGTAGACTTCTTCTCTGCTCCCAGTCTTTCCCACTCTTTCTTCCTTTCCTTTCTCTACTCAACTGATGAGCTAGTTTCAAGGATCCATTTTTTTTTTCTCTCAGTTCCCTCAGAGCCCTCTGATTCTGCCTGTCCAGGAGTGAGCTTGTAGCAAAACCTACCAACCATTATTTAGGCAGAGTAAAATAGGGCTGAAATACCTTTTAGCGGGATAATATTGCATAAGACATTAGGCTGACACTTTGTTTCAGAAGAGCGTTAAGTACACACAATGATTATATGGGAATGGTAACTGTCCAATGATGGATCACTGGGAATTAGTTTTGCCCCTTATATATTAATAGCTGACCGTGAAAAGCAGAGAAGCGGGTCTTAGAACATTTTCTATAGTCTTGGCTGTACAGCCATTTGAAGCTGTTTTTTTGCACCTTATTCTTAGGGGTTTAGATAAATGAGGAGAAAGGTTTTGTCAGTAGGGGACTCAGTCACTAGTAGCCTGCTACAGCCTCCCCCATCCTTAGGGACCTTCACTCAGGTGAAGCTGGATCCTTGACTATACCTCAGAAAAGAATTTCAGGACAGGTCAGAATCAAACAAGTGTACTGAGTAAAGATAAGAGTGATAGGAGCCAGTAATGCTTTAAGCATGGGGTGAGGGAGACAGAGAGACAGAGGCAGAGACAGACCTCGGCCTCTAGGAAAGAAAACACATTTAAGACATGAGTGCAGGCTTCTCAAGAGAAAGCCATACTTGGGAATCTTTACAGTGTATATATATATATAAAAAAAATTAAAGAGTAAGAAAAGTTAAAAGTTAAAGTTTTAAAATTTAAGTTTAAGGTTTACTTAGTTCTCTTAAAGAATTTTCTGTTCTAGATGAAGTTATGAAGTGGTTTTATGAAGTGTATCGCTTAAGATTTGGGGGCTAGTGAGGAGTGCTAACACAGTTAAACATAAGGCCATTTATATATAACTAAAAACATTCTGGCCCCAAGTAAGCACAGTTTGTTGTTTTTAACATCCTTGCTGGAGATGTCATTGGGAAGACAAGTACTATCTTTGCAGTACTATTTTATATGTTGTGTTGAAGTTTCTTGACTTTCAGTGAAATGGAAATGCAAATCTCAGGGTGAGGAGCCTCTTTCCCTTCCCATAGTCCCTTAATTTTTCCTGTCTTTGTATCCTGCCTCAGCCCAGTTGATTGGAATTATGTTTAGACATGAGGAACTTCTGCTTCTAGAGGGTCTGGCCACTTCTGCTGGGACTAAGTCAGAGTCAAGGTGACGTGAAACTGCTAACTGGTGCTGAGTGGTGATTAGCTCAAAATGTCTCCTGGCACAGCTTTGTGGTTGTGGACAGCTGAAGCTTCAACAAGCAATATATGTTTGATTAGCTGCTGCTGTGGCCACTTGTACTTTGTTAAATTTTTCATGGTTTCTGAAATTTGTAGAATTGCATCTGAGCATATGTTTTATTTTCAAAAATAAAGTCAGTTGGTACGTTATTTAAGAAGAGACCTTGTTATACCTAGGAGCTTATTTGTCACAATATAATAATCTATTTGTTGTCAAGATGATTTATAATAGCAAAGGGCCTCAGTGAGGAGAACTAATCACTTGTTTGTGTGGAGGTGACCTTATGTTTCTGTAATGATGTGTTTCCTATAGAAGTCCAGGAAGAAGCAGTGTGGAAGACTCTGGGGAAAGAGATGAAAAATCACCCAAGCCCATCACTTTCACACGTGAATCAATTAGCCGAGTTTCAGAAACAGAGTTGCTGGATGGAAATTCATCAAAAGGAGTTAGTATACCATTCCTTAAGAAATACACCCGACATCAATGTATGTTTATCATAATGTAGATGCAAATAAAAATGCAATATGTAAAATGTTCAAAGGCTTGGAATGTCAACATGTTACTTGATTTTAGAAGAATCTGTAAATAGCAAAGGTAATTAATGTAGGAAAAATATGGTTTTTTTTTTCAGAGTTAGGTAAGGTGCAGAGCTACCTGCAGGTCCCTGAACAAAATCTATTAAGAGACTAAAGACCATTTATGATGTAGCAAGACAGAGAGGAATGTGGGTGGTGGAGAAAATCTGCTTTGAATGAGGGAGATGAGCCTCTGAGCAGCAGGCTGAGTAGCAGTACACAGGAAGCTTCTTAAGTCACATATTACAGATGAGCGACTGGGCTTTTTAGTTAGCTGATGATCTGCTTCATTAAAAAAAATCTATTTACATTTTATGTATATGACCATTTTGCCTGTGTGTATGTAAGTGTAGCATGTGCATGTAGTGCCCATGGAGTCCAGAAGAGGATGATGGATCTGGTGGTTGTGAGCCCCCATGTGGGTGCTGGGAACTGAAGTCAGGTCCTCTGCAAGAGCAGCCAGTGCCCTTAACTGCTGAGCCATTTTTCTAGCCTCTTAATTTTTTTTTCAAGTATCATAAGTGTATTAGTTTTTAAACTTCATCAAGTTTCAATCACTTGGAGCTGTCATTGTTATCTTGGTTTATTTTGACATAGTCTTGCTGTATAACTCAGACTGACCTTGAATCTGTGACCCTCCTTCCTCAGTGTCCCAAGAGCTGGGTTCACAGGCATTTACCACCACATCTGGCTCATTATTATTATCATCATTGTGTTATTATTTTGTACTTAGTTTGTCCCCTCTGCAGTGGCAGCCCCGTCAGATAGGCTCTTTTGTCTTTTTTAAATGACCAGAAATCTCTCATGGTTTCCTTTCTTCTGGCAGAGGAGTGTGTCCCAACACATTTTGTCTGTTTTCTGCCACAGACACAAATTCATTTCTCTGATGAGCCATTTTCTTAGTGAAGAATCTGGTATTTAATGAGCACCTTCTGAGTGCTGAGAGTGCTTCTGTACAGAGCTTTCGCTGTGTGAGGCCTGCAGCTGGACTGATTGGTTTAGAGTAGCGTTTAGGTTTCAGAGCCTACTCCGGCCACTTGCTAACAGCACAGTCTTTTTTTAATTTATTATTTTATTTTATGTGTCTGAGTGTATTACCTGCATGTGTGTAAGTGTACCCATGTCATGCAATGCCCATAGAGGTCGGAAGGGGCCATTGATTGCCCTGGAACTGGAGTTATGGATGGTTGGGTACTGGGACTCGAACCTGGGTCCTCTGCAAGAGCAGCCTGTGCAATTAACCACTGAGCCATCTCTCCAGCCTTGTAACTGCACAACCTTGAAAAAGTTAATTCCTTAAGCTTTTCCTTTACTTTCTTACTATAAAGTGAGGGTAGTAACTCATAGGGTTTCTAAAATAAGAATGAAATAAACTGACATATGTGAAGGTATTGAGGACAAATCCTAGCACTCATTAAGTGTCCTAAAACCATAAGCTGTGATAATTGAAAATGAATCTGCATGTCCTTAGCAATGGGCTCGCAGCATCCCCTCACAGTAAATGTTGGGAAAACACTGAAATAGAAAATATTCATGTGAAAGGTCCCCAAGTTATTGTTTTAGGCAGCCATCAACCATCATGCATCTGTCTCAGATTACTTTTGTGTTGTGGGTTTCTTGCAAAACTTACAGATTTTAGCTGGGCATAATCACAGCATTTGGGAGGCAGAGGCAGGGGGCTCTCTGTGAGTTCAAGGCTAGGAGTTCTAGGACAGTCAGTGCTACACTGTTTCAAAGCAAAAGCAAAAGCAAAGCAAACTGAAACCAAACTTGAAATTCAGAAACACTCCTATATAAGGAATGTGATTCTGGAAGTTAATCATTACAATTTATGTTCTCACTGAGAAGATGAAACCAGTCAATTGTGGGGAGGTAACAAAATAGATTTCTTGCAGTCTCAGTCTTTTACAAAAGTCTGATTTTGAGAACTGAGTTTTCAGAACTGCTAATCTCTCTCCAGTCCTTCATAACCTCCCTGAATCTGTCTTCTGTAATGCCTCCCAAAGTACTTAACCTGTTGGTTCTTATCTCTAGTTCTGTCCCTGACAGAACTCACTCGTTCTCTTGGTACTGGAATGGAATGTAAGAAACTAATAGTGTATTAGATCAACCATAGAGATCAATCATGTGTGTGTGTGTGTGTGTGTGTGTGTGTGTGTGTCTATGATTGATGTTTACTGTAGATGTTTCATGTTGTGGAAGGTGGATCTTTTTTTCCCAAGAGTAGTATGGTGAGATTATCAGCTTTTAGACATCAAGAAATATTGTCTGTCATTCACCTTGCTTAATTTTTTACTTCCAATAAACTGGAACTACCAAAACTCGGAAACAACTTTTTTTCCCAAAAGAAAATATGCTCATTATAAAATTAATATTTGTAAAAATTTGTGAAGTACAGAAAAATATCTGAAGAAATAAAATAATACAAATACCAACCATTAAAATGGTGAATTCCTTTTCATAGCAGCATTTATCTATATTATTTGTAATAGAAAATGTAATTAAATTAACAAAAAAAGGAGAAATGTAAGCATGGACCTACAGAGGAACTCCACTTAGCACCTGTTACACAGGCGCTGGTCTGCTACATAAATGTGCTGCTTTATACTGTGGAACTCCCAAACGTGTCAACTCTTGATTTTTAGCTGTAATGCCTGCAAAATCCATTCTCTGGGTAGAGTAGGCTAATCCTTTAATAAGTTGTGTCCTGAGTCCCAGTTATTACTCTGCTTCTTGAGCGGTATGGAAATCTGTATTTTCCCTGGAGGTACATCTCTGTTCAGGGCCAGGAAGATCTCCTGGGGCAGGATGTAGAAGGGCTTTCTGCTCTCATTCATCTGTGCTTACTCAGTGCAAGAGAATTCTGCTGTATATTTATGCAGAATTTTTACATTGCCTTACTGATTATAGTACTGCTATACTTGAATTATAACATAATAATAGCATTTACACTTTAGTGGCTATCATTTAATTTACTGTAGAAATGACATGTCTTAATCCCAGCACTTGAGAGGCAGAGGCAGTTGAATCTCTCTGAGATGGAGGCCAGCCTGGTCTACATAGTGAGTGGGCTGGGACTAGGGAGACCCTGTCAAAAAAAAAAAAAAACAGAAAAGGAAAGAAATGACATGTCTTTATTAAACACTCCCAGAATGTATACATAATATCATATTTTGAATATATTTTAATGCCTAATCTTTTGGTCTCTTAACAGTAAAGCCAATTGAGTTCCTTATGAAACTAATTTCTTCTCTCCACACTGTACTCTTACATGTCTTTTATCTCTATTTTCTTTCCATTTCTCCTATAGTTACTGACATTGAGAGATGGGTGAGGGGACAGGTACTGACTGGGGAAATACATTTGACTTTCCTCCCTTGCCCACCCCAGAGACCTGATTGCTTGTTATTTTGTCCTCTGCCCCTTTCCCTTCTGCTTAAGTGATTCACGTGTTGTGAACTCTGAGTCCTTTTTATATGATGTTTTCCATAAATTTGTTGTTCATTACTATGTAAGAAGGCTTCAGGGTAGTATACATTATTTCCTAGCATTTCATGGGTATCATTCAACCTTAATAAACAAAATGCTGTAAATATTTTTCACAAAGCAGCATTCCAAGCCATCTTTAATACTGAAGTTCTTATGGTAAAAATCCAAGCTTCAAATCAGTGTTTTACTTTTAAACTGTTGTTTGTCTCTTAGGGATTAGGCAAAGAGGACCTCCAAAATGAGAAACATGTGAAGAAAACTCCTTCACTCACTTCAGAAAAGAGATTGAGTAGACTGCCCTCAAAGTCGCTGGACTTGAACAAAAATGATTATCTTTCTCTGGACAAAAGCAGCACTTCAGATTCTGTTGATGAAGGTAAAGAATTTCTTATAAATCTTAATAGAATTCCAGGCATGTCTTCTAACATTTATCTTTGTATTAGCTGTGTGCAGACTGAGACTTTCATTGTGGTAGTCTCACCCTATAAAGGAGCAGAAAAGGAATGAATATTTCTAGAAGACAGGTGAAAAACTAACAAATCTAACCCATCCTCATTTCTTTCAAAACCTGGAACTTGAAAATCTCCATTACATTGACTTTTTAAAAATCTAAACTTCCAGGGATAGAGAAACAGGATAGGGAGATTGCTCAGTTGGCAAAGTGCTTGCTGTGTACATATAAAGATCTGAGTTCAACCCTCAGCACCTACATAAAAAGCAGAGCAGGCTGGCATGGTGGTGTGTGTTTATAATCCCAGCACCAAGGAGACAGAGTGTCTCAAAGTCTCAAAGAGTGTGGACCAGGCTCCAGGGCATGGACCTCATACCCAAGTGCCTTTGGGAAACACAAATTAGCTCAATAGGCCTTAAAGATTTGCTAACAGAGGATATGAAGTGAGGGGGGAGGTGTAGGGAGGTGGAGGTGGCTCTGAGAGTTGGTGAGAGAATCTGAATGTGATCAAAATACATCTATGACATTCTCAAGGAATCAATAAGCATACTATTTTTAAAAAGTTGGATGGCTCCTTAGGAACCACACCCAGGGCTGTCCTCTGGCCTCCATAGGGATGAGCACATGTATGTGCCCACATACATATAAAGAAGCATGAATACATGTGTACACACATACACACACACACACACACATAATCTAAGCTTTCAGGCAGTGGATGCAGGGCAGTACTAATGGAAAAGCAAATCTCTTTTCTCTTTCTAAAAATTCTGCATGCCCACACCTGCAGACTACATGGAGAGATACGTTAGTGCTTGTGGGCTACCTTTGGTTTGCTGGTAGGGAAAAAGAAATTGAGAGGTTTAGTCCAAAAGCATGCAGCTAGCTAACTATACAGAGGTAGGATTGAGGACAAGGTTTCTCCATCCAGTGTTCTTTTTACTCAATTCCAGCACTTCCAAAATTCTTCTTCCTTTCTCTTTCTTTTTAAAAAGGATATCTTGCTGGGCATGGTGGCGCTTGCCTTTAATCCCAGCACTTGAATCTTTGTGAGATGGAGGTCAGCCTGGTCTACATAGAGAGTTCCAGGCCAGTTCAAGGCAGGTGCATGTTCCGAGATGAATATTAATTTAAATTACTGGGAGGCATCCAAAAAATTTCCAAAATTTCTAGAAAAGAAATATTTTAAAAAGATTTCTTACTGGCGTTCATTCCACTCTGTATCTGTGAAGTTACACATTTTTGACTATTGTCATGTTTTAGAATTTTTTTTTTTTGGTCTTTTTTGAGACAGGGTCTCCCTGTATCCCCAGCTGTCCTGGAACTCACTATGTAGACCAGGCTGGCCTTGAACTCACAGAGATCCACCTGCCTCTGCCTCCCGCGTGCTGGGATTAAAGCCACCATGCCTGGCTGCAGAATATTTTTAAGTTTGAAGGTAGAAGCATGGACAGTTCATCATTATTCTGATTTGTTTTTACTAGAATCAACTTTTTCTTTTTTTTTTTGGTCTTTTTGAGACAGGGTCTCCCTGTAGCTCCACCTGTCCTGGAACTCACTATGTAGACCAGGCTGGCCTTGAACTCACAGAGATCCACCTGCCTCTGCCTCCTGAGTGCTGGGATTAAAGGCGTGCGCCACCACACCCGGCTAGAATCAACTTTTATTAAAAACATTTTCAATTTATTTTCAAATCGTTTTAAAGGAACATTCTACAGTTGAGATTTATTACAAAGACAACTAATATTCCATATGGTATTTAAAAATAATTTATGGGGCTGGTCAGGTGACTCAGTGGGTAAAAGTGCTTGCCCCCAAGTTTAGTGACCTGTATTTGAATCCTGGAACTCACAGAGTGGAACGTGAGAACTGACTCCTTCAAGTTGTCCTCTGACTCCACACAGTGCTGTAGCATATGCATATCCCCACAAAACCACATAAAATGTCCAAAAATGTAAATGCTTTGGTTTTAGAAGACCAACAAATTTAATTTGATTCTCATAATGATAAGCAGTAATCAGAGACATGACCCAGAGGTCTTCTGGATTTCAAACATATTACACATTGGGTGGTATTTTTGTTATTTGTTTTTAAATTTTTAAAAATTTTAATTTTTTTAATGTTTTTAAAATGAATTTTTGTAATTTTCATGCAATATAATTTGAAGGTATTTTTATGCCCTCTCCTCTCTGTACCTCCCCTTATTGCCCCTTGCCCAATTTAATGTACTAATAAGGTCTATGGAGTTTAATTGTGTCCCTAAATATCCTTCAGTATTGTTATATGCTTTATATTGTTGAATGGGCTCAACAAATAGCATCCTTCCTGATCATCCTTCTTGTAATAAAATTGAGTAAAGAAACAAAAAGCAAATCAGAGAGACCAAAATATCACCCCCTAATAATAATAGGGGCCAAGTCAGAGGATAATCTGAGCATGGGTGCCAAAGCTGACAGCAGAAAATGAGGCCAATTTTCTTTTCTGTCAATGCCAGGCACCCTCCCCGAGAGGTGGATGGGAGGTCAGCTCTGAAAGAGTAACATTTTCTGTGGGTACCTCGGTTCCATAACACAGGACAGGTATGTGCCCAGCCTGCCCAGTGTGACCCCTCCAGGCTTACTAATTGTGGTAGGCAGCATGGGCATGGACTGCCCTGACAAATACCACAGATCACATGGCTCAGATAAGATGCACTTTCTTATAATTCTAGAGGGTAGAAGTCACAGATGAGGCCCAACAGAGTTGTCTTCTGTGAGAACAAGCTTAGTGGCTGTGGATAGCTCCCTTGCTGTGTCCCTACAGTACCAGCTACCTTCTTGCTGTGTCCTTAAATATGCTTTCCTCGGTGCATGCTCACAGGGTAGAGGGGTATGGAAAAGGGAAGCAGGCAAAAGTTGAGAATATACTAATAAAAAGTAGTAGTTTATGGGAAGCTTAAGGGCATATCACAGTCTCTCTGAGTGCTCATAACCTGCAGCATGTCCTACTTATCAGTAGTTTTTTTTTGGGGGGGGCGGGGAGGTTGAGAGAGGGTCTCCCTGTAACCCCAGCTGGCCCGAAACTGACTATGTACACCAGGCTGGCCTCAACCTCTCAGAGATCTACCTGCCACTGCCTCTCAAGTGCTGGGATTAAAGTTATGTGCCACTATGCCCAGCTATTGGGCTTTTTTCAGTCTTTTTTTGAGAATTATTAAGATCATTGGCATCGAAGTCAGTATAGTAGGAGGCACTGGGAGTGATGAGGAGCAGTAAGGCTTTACTGGACTGCTGCTGTTCATGCTTTAGGATGCAGTGGGCATGACTGACTGAATTTGGGACTCTGGGAAGATCTATTCTGGCACCCAGTGGCCAAATAGGTAAGTGACACCAAAGCTAAGAATTACTTGATTTTTTTTCTCTTGCTCTTTTCTAAAAAATGGTCCCCCAAAAGTTGTTTCATTATTGAGTTTCTCTAAAAGTAACAAATATTATAAGTTACCCGAGGGACAACATTACAACTTATAAAAGCTGTGCACATATCTTGGAATAAAGAAAGAATAACAGTGTTGTAGTTATTGCACACAAGCCCTGGTCAAGTGCTCATTATTGGTGCTTCTTTAAAAACTGCCTGTGGGGCTAGAGAGATGACTCGGTGGTTAAGAGCACTGGATGTTCTTGGAAAGGACCTGGGTTTGGTTCCCAGCACCCACATGGTGGCTAACAGCCATCCTTAACTCCACTACCAAGGGACCCAATGTCTTCTGGCCTCCATGAGTGTTTCATTCATACCTGCACATACACATAGACACATACACATAAATTTGAAAACTAAATAAAAAATAAATTTTAAAAAACTACTTAGCTTGGCAGTAAGAACTTACACAGAACACTCAGTTCTCTGTTTTTCTTAAAGTGTTCTTAAGGTGGTAGGATGATTTTTTTCTTATTAGATTATCATTGGGTAACAGTTTGGGTACACCTGTTATTTTCCCCGAGGTCCAAAGATCTCAGGCTTATCAGATCTTATGATAATGAATCTATTTTTCCACTTTCTCAAAGTTGTAAAATAATGAGGCATTTATAATAAATGAACTGGGGAGAAAATCAGAAAAGTCAAACAAAGTAAATCATTCCAAGAGACTTGGACATCAATGTGGAGGTTTAGAGGGAGCTGAATGGGTGGAGATCATTTTAAACTGAACATTGACTAGTTAAAAATGGTAGGTTTTGGGATGGCTGTGAGGTTGAGGCCAGCCTGAGATGGTCTACATAGCAAGTTCCAGGCCAGCTGAGGCTAGATAGTGAGACCATGTCTCCAAAAAAGGGAGTAGGTTTGCATTGTTTTGTTTTGTTTAGACAAGGTCTTACTATGTAGTCCTGGTTGTCCTGAAACTTTCTATACAGACCAGACTAGCCTTGAACTTCCATTGAGCCTCCTGCCTCTGCCTCCTGAGTGCTAGGATTGTTTGGAATCTACAAGTGGAGGGTTCCCTTGTTAGAGATAGTTCTGTACTCACATATGCACTGGGACCTTAGCTGCCGAACACTGTTGAATGCTAAGTACTATGTTTTAAAATACTAGACTATAGTATTAATTTACTATATTATTAATTTAAACTTTTATATGTCTTAATTCATAGAATAAGCTATAGACATTCTTCATTTACTTAAAGGATCATTGCTGATAGATTTTTTTGATAGCCAGGGAAGTTGAGATGTTTTGAACATCTTAGAAGATTCTGGGAGTTTGCTGGCAAGTGAAGATGAATTGACATATGTACAAGGATTTGTGACTGTGTCTTTGAGTGCATGATATCCCTGATGCTGTCAGGGTTTACTCCTGCCACCGTCTCCTTTCTCTTATATTATGGGTAGCTTTGGAAACATCTGCCCATGAGGTAGAGCCAAATTGACAAACTGGCTGAGGGCATGAGATCCTGGTCT